TGGGTTTCCCCCCTTTTTTCCCCCCCCCCCCCCCCCCATCGACACATTCACAGCTATTGCTTCAAAACTCCACTGAACGTCATCAAAATTACGAATTATAATAATTTGATCGACTCAGTGTCACTGCGGTAACTCCGCGTCCCCCACTTTGGGAACCACTGCTTCATTGAAAGGCTGTGTGCGTCATTGTTGTTGTTGGAGCCCGTGCTGAAGCCTGTGTTTACGACCCGACATTTGATACTCGCTGTGTAATTGTCATCTGATGACACGTGTCCAGGAAAGTCATTACACGGAGGACAACAGCAGGACAACAGCTGCTGCTACTACAGTTGTTTGTGTTTCTGTTCCTCCAGAACCGCTTCGTCTGTCCACATCGCTAAGTGGTCTCCTGACGGCGAGTATTTTGCGACAGTGGGAAAGGTACGACATCACTGGAACTTTGGTTAAAAAGTTTCTCAACAGCTGCACCACCTGTGGTAACAGCATTTGTTCATCAACCTTCACAGGATGACTGTTTACTCAAAGTGTGGTACCCGACCACGGCCTGGCGTTCGGCCGTCGTTGTCCAGGACCCCTATGATAAAAAGCCCCCTAGTGTTCACTTCTCATTTGTTTACCTGGCTCATCCTCGCTCCGTCACTGGTATGTCATGGAGGAAGACCAGCAAGTACATGACCAAGTAAGAACACCGTACTTCCTACTTTTTTGTAGGGGGTGAGGGAGGGTGGGAGGTCGTGGGGGTTATTTCATATGAGAAGAAACTGGATGTTTTAAACATGAACCTTGTTTTTCCAGGGGTTCTGTGTGCAATGTGATGCTGACGTCCTGCGAGGACGGTGTGTGTCGGCTGTGGTCAGAGACCCTGCTCCCAGAGGACAGCCTGCTGGGGGGCCAGATTTCTGAGAACACACTCTCTTTCAGCTCAACTCTGCCGGGCCTGACTGGTAATAAGGACAAGATCCAGCATGCTCTGGAGGTGGGGGCCGGTACAGACCGTACACTGACGAAGACCCCGTCAGATAAAGCACTCGTTCTGATTCTTCTTCTGTCCCTTGTCTGTTCAGTCCATCCACCACTTGAAGCATTTACGCCGTGGACGACGACGGTCCTCCGCCCTGGTGGCGCACAGCGAGCTGCTGCCCACTCAGCTGGCCACGCAGGACGTGCACACGAACCGCAACATCGCCCACCACGCTAACGCCCTCTGTCATTTCCACATCTCTGCCAGTATTAACCCCAACACGGGTGAGTCACAAAGTCCTCAGACAGATTTCAAAGTCAGAGCAAATGGAACATTTTAATCAAACTTCAAACGATTGAAGCTCATTAACAGGTTCAGATCCAGAACCGTCAAATGTTTTAGTCCAAAAGTGAAAGAACATTTATAGTCCACTGTGACTGGAGTCAAAGACTTCCTCCAGTGTGAATTCCCCTGTGATACAGTTCAGACCTGTTCTACAGGATGTACCACAATCAGTGCATTTGTTCCGTCTCTGAAAAAACCCAGTGATTAGCGCCTCCTACAGGAACAGTGGGCTGCACTTCAGTAATCATACAGGGGAGGGGTTTTTATGATCACACACCACAACACAACAGTTCTATGGTTACGAGTCAGTCGTGGTATAAATATATGTTTTTTCAGTTTGTTGTAGAACTTTCAGGTTAACTCTCATATCGAGGAAGTATGTTTTGATTTTACAGTCAAGTTAAACTGTTTAAGTTGTCTGGTCTGTCAGTCAGTGACCTCATAATGACCTGATAACCCCCCCTCCTCCCGCAGACATCCCCACAGTAGTGGCCGACTCTGCGGTGTTCAACCCAGACGACGGCTCTGGCGGCGGGGGTTTTGTCGTCCACTGGCTCAACAACAAGGACCTGAGCTTCACTTCTTCCATGGACCTTTTTATGGTGCAGCTGAGAAAGTTCTCGGAGCAGCAGTTGGACCAGACCACTGAGGACCTGCTGGAACCTGACGGCTCCCCCATGAAGTTTGACTTTGGTACATGCACCCCTGGACCACTGAGTCCTTCCTCTCAGTAGGACGTGTATTGGTTCTGTTAAAGTAGTGGAAAAAATATATATATTTTTTCTTGCTGTCTAGACTTGGACGACATATCAGACAAAGCCTCCTCAGACCAGGGTGAGGAAGGGGAGCTCGGGGAGCAGGGCAGCACCAAGGCGTCCTCCCCTGGATCCAGCTCCAGCATCCCCCTGCCTTCAATGCTGCTGGAGAGGAAGATGGAGATTCTGACCACAGAGTGGAACAAGAGTCCAGACATGCTGTTCACCATCCACCCTGTAGATGGCTCCTTCCTGGTTTGGCACGTCAAGTACCTGGATGAATTTAACCAGGGCATCTTCAGACAGGTCCAGGTCAGCAGGATTCAGACCACAAGCCTTATTTTTATTTATTTGGTTTTTTTGACTTTCCCTTAATATTTTTTTTTGACTTTCCCTTAAAACAAATGGCTCATACATCTTCCCCTTCTCTCCCACTAGGTGTCCTTCTCGTCCCGTATACCGGTGGCGTTCCCCACAGGTGACGCCAACTCCCTGAGTAAGAACATCCTGATGTACGCCTGCACGCTGAGCACCGCTGACAGAGGTGGAGAACAGGAGCGGAGGCCCCGTCTCAGCCACTCCGTGTCGGCCTCAGGTGGTCTGGGTTCACCTGCTCTGACCCCCCGTCACAGTCCCTGCCCTGGCATCAGTCCCGCCGTCATGATGGTTTCTAAACACGTGGATGGATCCCTTAACCAGGTGCAGTCCTGTTTGATATTCAGTGGAACCCTCTGTGTGTGTTCAGCCCTCCCCGTTCTGACACTTGTTTCCCGGGTCTTTACAGTGGGCGGTTACATTCGCCGAGCGCTCCGCCTTCTCTAACGTGTTGACCGTCTCCCATAAGTTCCGCTACTGCGGCCACCGCTTCCATCTTAATGACCAGGCCTGCCACACGGTGCTGCCTCTGCTGCTGACGTCGTCTCATCACAACGCCCTCCTCACACCCCCCTCCGCTCCTGGCAGCCTGGAGGGGGAGCCGCTGCCGACGTTCCCTCAGATCAAAGGACCTTTGAGGTATGAGGAAGAAACACTCAGATCAAAGGACCTTTGAGGTATGAAACGTCCACCATCCATCCTGTCCAGACCAGTGACCAAACTGACTGTGGTCACAGATGAGGACTGAACACATGTATTTTTACCTTATTATTTAGCAGGAAGCAGTTACGTAACGCAGCCACACGGACCTTCCACGACCCCAACGCCATTTACAGTGAACTGATCCTGTGGAGGGTGGATCACATCGGCCCTCTGTCCTGCACCGGGGGGGTCTCTGAACTGGCCCGGATCAACTCCCTGCACACCTCTGCCTTCAGCAACGTGGCCTGGCTGCCCACACTGATCCCCAGCACAGTACTGGGTAAAAACACCTTTGGATTTCACACGGGTGGAAACAGTCCGTCAGAACTGATTAGTCAGCGAGTGATTGTTAAAAATGAAACGTTTTTTTCTCTTGATTTTCTCAGGAACTTACTGCAACAGTGCCAGCGCCTGCTTCGTGGCCTCTGATGGTAAAAACCTGCGTCTCTACCAGGCCGTGGTTGATGCTAGAAAACTATTGGACGAGCTGTCGGATCCTGAAACATCTGTGAGTGAAGACAAAAAAGTTTTTGAATGATTTGTGTCTGTTTTTCCCGTTCACGTCTCACAGTCTCCTGTGTCTGCTCAGAAACTGGTGGGTGAAGTGTTTAACATCGTCAGCCAACAGTCCACGGCCCGGCCGGGCTGTATCATAGAGTTGGACATCATCACCAATCAGGTAAGAGGTCATGTGACCACTCCTCACACTCACCTGTCCTGTCCTGTTCCGTTCTGATCCGTTCCGTTCCGTCCTGTGGTCCAGTGTGGTGCCAACACTCAGCTGCTGCACGTCTTCCAAGAGGACTTCATCCTGGGTTACAAACCTCAGAGAGAATCTGAAGAATCCTCTCCGTCATCTGGTGAAGGTACGCTGACCTGCACACGTTTGGATCCTGGATCAACTCTGAACCAAGACTTTGATTTCATTTTCCTCTTTAATCATCTTTGATGTTTCTTCATCCACCAGCTCCGTTCTCTGAGAAGTTCTTCCTGGTGGTGATAGAAAAGGACCTGAACAGGAACTCGGTTCTGCAGATGTGGCACCTGCACCTCAAGTCTGTGCAGGCCTGTGTTGGTATGTGGACTGGGGTTCAAGAAGAACCGTCTAACTGAGTGGTTCTCAAACTACACTACACACATGCCTCTTTTGGTACTTGGGCTCCCTCTAGAGGTCACTAGAGGCATTTGTTTAACATGGGGATTAGGTGAGGGGGCCTACGGCTTTGTGTGTGTGGGGGGGGGATCAGGGTTTGATATTGTTATTGTTGGTGTTAGATGTTTGAGAACCACTGCCTGTGTTTCTGCTCAGATGAACCCAACCAGGACTACAGTCTCCAGAGTCAGCTGACTGTTCCCAGCCGCGTGGCAAACGCAGACTCGTCTCCTGAGACCTCTCCGATCAGACCACTGCCACGATCCGTCTCCACGGCCAACCTACAGTCGGCCAGCAAACTCATCCACAGCTCCAAGCTGGTGTACAGCAAACGACTGGACCTCCCCCACGGGGTGGAAGTGATCCGAGCAACGCCCTCTGCAGGTTGGAAATGTCAACGTCATGCAATATATACAGCCATACTGTACACACATACTGTATATATTTTTACTGACATTTTTTCTTTGTCATGAAAGAAAATCTGGTTTAAAAATATACAGATACAAAAGTTCAGAAAATGTATTCACAATATAAATATATATTTTTTGCAGGTCATCTTAGCTCCTCCTCCATCTACCCCGTGTGCCTGGCTCCGTACCTAATCGTCACGACCTGTTCTGATTCTCGCGTTCGGTTCTGGCGCTGTGCCGTGGAGGGCGATGAAGCGAACAGTGAGGACGATCGGGACAAATGCACGTACCACTGGGAGCCGTGGGCCCTGATGAACGAGGAGGAGGACAACAACAGCGCCGTGTGTGTGTCGGGCCGACCCGTGGCCGTCTCCTGCTCCTACATCGGCCGGCTGGCTGTGGCCTTTAAAATGCCACGACCCGGACAGGTGGGTCTTTGGGTGTTGAGTATGTGTACCAGATGCTGTGGTACACAGGATACCATGGTGAACTAACCTGCAGTCAGAGCCAAGCTTTAAAACTATTTAAATAAAAACAAACGTCTCAATGAGTCTGTGGGTACAACGACCAGCCCGTAATCGATCTTTCAGTGAAACACTGTGCGCACTGGAATGACAGGTTATTTTTATTTGTCACTAACTCTGGTAACAGGGACTCAGTTCTGTCCGTGTGAACCCTTCAGTCAGTGGACTTTTTCTCTTGTCTTGTCTGTAGCTGCAGACCTCTGAGAAGGACTTCTCCATGTACGTGTCCATCTATGAGTGTGAGTCAACCGGTGGCTCTGAGTGGGTTCTGGAGCAAACCCTTCACCTGGACGACTACACCAGACCCACGTCAACTCTGGACCCAAGAGTCAGTGTGGACTCCAACCTGTTTGTCTACAGCAGGTCAGTCCGTCTGCGTCACGTCTCTCCATCACTGCATGTCCAGTGTCTTCGTCACTAACTTCTGGTTTTTCCCGAACCAGGTCCGACCTGTACATGACCCGGGACCACAGTTCCCCCAACATCAAGCACTACGTCCATCTGGACTGGCTGTCCAAGGAGGACGGATCGCATATTCTCACGGTCGGGGTCGGATCCAACATTCTCATGTACGGCCGTATTTCTGGGATGGTCAACGAGCAGACCAGCAGCAAAGAGGGGGTGGCCGTCATCACCCTTCCTCTAGGGGGCAGTATCAAACAGGGCATCCGCTCACGCTGGATTCTGCTTCGCTCGGTGGACCTCTTGTCGTCAGTGGACGGCACTCCGTCCCTGCCGGTGTCCCTGTCCTGGGTGAGGGACGGAATCCTGGTGGTGGGGATGGACTGTGAAATGCACGTGTACGCCCAGTGGCACCAGGACAAAAAGACCGGGGAGGGGGACGAGGGGAACCCGTTCTCCACGGACATCTCCGGAGGACAGACCTCTGTGTTTGAAGGCAGAGCCCGGTCAAAGAGTGTGTTTGAAGGCAGCACCGCCGTGGACGAGGCCCTGCGTGCCCCGGCAGGACTTCAGGAAGGGGGGCTGTTTGAGGCCGCTCACTCCCTCTCCCCTACTCTCCCCCAGTACCATCCTACTCAGCTTTTAGAGGCTCCTGCTCCTACATCGGCCGGCTGGCTGTGGCCTTTAAAATGCCACGACCCGGACAGGTGGGTCTTTGGGTGTTGAGTATGTGTACCAGATGCTGTGGTACACAGGATACCATGGTGAACTAACCTGCAGTCAGAGCCAAGCTTTAAAACTATTTAAATAAAAACAAACGTCTCAATGAGTCTGTGGGTACAACGACCAGCCCGTAATCGATCTTTCAGTGAAACACTGTGCGCACTGGAATGACAGGTTATTTTTATTTGTCACTAACTCTGGTAACAGGGACTCAGTTCTGTCCGTGTGAACCCTTCAGTCAGTGGACTTTTTCTCTTGTCTTGTCTGTAGCTGCAGACCTCTGAGAAGGACTTCTCCATGTACGTGTCCATCTATGAGTGTGAGTCAACCGGTGGCTCTGAGTGGGTTCTGGAGCAAACCCTTCACCTGGACGACTACACCAGACCCACGTCAACTCTGGACCCAAGAGTCAGTGTGGACTCCAACCTGTTTGTCTACAGCAGGTCAGTCCGTCTGCGTCACGTCTCTCCATCACTGCATGTCCAGTGTCTTCGTCACTAACTTCTGGTTTTTCCCGAACCAGGTCCGACCTGTACATGACCCGGGACCACAGTTCCCCCAACATCAAGCACTACGTCCATCTGGACTGGCTGTCCAAGGAGGACGGATCGCATATTCTCACGGTCGGGGTCGGATCCAACATTCTCATGTACGGCCGTATTTCTGGGATGGTCAACGAGCAGACCAGCAGCAAAGAGGGGGTGGCCGTCATCACCCTTCCTCTAGGGGGCAGTATCAAACAGGGCATCCGCTCACGCTGGATTCTGCTTCGCTCGGTGGACCTCTTGTCGTCAGTGGACGGCACTCCGTCCCTGCCGGTGTCCCTGTCCTGGGTGAGGGACGGAATCCTGGTGGTGGGGATGGACTGTGAAATGCATGTGTACGCCCAGTGGCACCAGGACAAAAAGACCGGGGAGGGGGACGAGGGGAACCCGTTCTCCACGGACATCTCCGGAGGACAGACCTCTGTGTTTGAAGGCAGAGCCCGGTCAAAGAGTGTGTTTGAAGGCAGCACCGCCGTGGACGAGGCCCTGCGTGCCCCGGCAGGACTTCAGGAAGGGGGGCTGTTTGAGGCCGCTCACTCCCTCTCCCCTACTCTCCCCCAGTACCATCCTACTCAGCTTTTAGAACTGATGGACCTGGGCAAGGTTCGACGTGCCAAGGTGTGGGAATATTTTTTTTTTTTTAAAGATTTGATTTTTTATCAGTTAACTAACTAAAACACAGTGACGTTAATCAGCTGTTGACCTTTGATCCCGTCTCGTAGGCCATCCTCGCTCACCTGGTGAAGTGTATCGCCGGTGAAGTGGCGGTGGTGAGGGATGTGGAGGCAGGCGAGGGCGGAGCCAGGAGACATCTGTCCAGAACCATCAGTGTGACCGGCAGCACAGCCAAGGACACCATCGTGGCCGGACGTGACGGGGGCAGGGACTACACCGAGATCAACTCCATCCCCCCTCTCCCCCTCTACGCACTCATGTTGGCAGATCTGGACACTTCCTACAAAGGACCAGAGGAGGCGGTGAAGGGAACGAAGATGGCAGACGGTGAGGGGTCTAACCAGTCCTCAGAGGACCAGTACGCAGATCTCTTCCAGGTAGGTTTTCAAACCCCCACCACCACCACCTTTGATGTCAGTGTGTCGTCCATTGATGTTTTGGCCTTCGTCTCCAGGTACCGACAGTCACCACCGACGACTTTGTCAGCTTGGCTACGGACAAACCGGAGAAGTCTCGAGTCATCAACCTCTCTCAGTATGGACCCACCTACTTTGGACCAGAGCACGCTCAGGTTCTGACTCTGACTTTCTCCCCGTTCCTACTAGAACCATGTCAATGGCACATCATGATGAAAAAGTTCTGGGTCGGAACTTTATGACAAACATTCAGTGTTTGTTTTGGAGGGGGGAGGATGATAACAGATGTGTACAGTTCTTTTCATCTTTTTTCTCTGTGGTGTCCAGGTTCTGTCCAGTCACCTCATGCACTCCAGCCTACCTGGGCTGACCAGACTGGAGCAGATGTTCTTGGTGGCCTTGGCTGATACTGTCGCCACGACCAGTGCTGAGGTCACAAGCTCCAACGACCAGAAGTACTCAGGTACCATGGGTCAGAGTATTTCCTCTGACAGGAGTATGTGTAGTGAAGTGAAGCGAATACTGAAGTATTTGTGTTTGTTTTTAACGTCCACTGTTGGAGCTGATGAGGCTGATGGTTGTGGTGTGTGTCTTAGGTGGGGAGGCTCTGGATGAGTGTGGACTCAGGTACCTCCTGGCCATGCGTCTTCATACCTGCCTGCTCACTTCGCTGCCCCCCCTCTACCGTATGCAGTTACTTCATCAAGGTAAAAAAAAGATCTGTCCTTCCTTTGAATAAACCTCCTAGCTTCTTATTTCCATGTTAATGTTATAAAACCAGCCTGTTTAACCCTAACCCTCTTGTCTGTCTGTCTGTTTCAGGCCTGTCTACGTGTCACTTCGCCTGGGCCTTCCACTCAGAGGCAGAGGAAGAACTGCTGAACATGATCCCAGCCATGCAGAGAGGCGACCCCCAGTGGTCGGAGCTCAGAGCTGTTGGGGTCGGCTGGTGGATTCGCAACATCAACACTCTGCGCAAAATGGTGGAGAAGGTACTGGAACATTGTTGTATTTTCAGGTTGAGAGGTCGATTGTGAGGGGGGGGGCTGATCCTGGTTCTTTTTTGTTATGATTGTTCTGACGGTCATGTGTGGTCTGTGTCATCAGTTAGGTAAAGCTGCCTTCCAGAGAAACAACGATCCTTTAGATGCTGCTCTCTTCTACTTGGCCATGAAGAAGAAAGCTGTCCTGTGGGGTCTGTTCAGGTGGGACTGATCGAGTTCAACATCAGAACACTCAGTGTCAGAGGTCTTCAACGTTTTTCAGGCCACATAACATGTGAATAATAATAATAATAATAAAAAAAATTCATGACCTCCCAGCAACACTTATGTGAACCCCTTGGTGGGCTGCGAACCCCCTGTTGAAGACCTCTGATCTCCATCGTAGCTTGTTGAACACTGAGTCAGCAGCAGGTGGCACTGTAGTTCAGTGGAGTCTTGTGGTGGTCTTTCCTCAGGTCTCAGCACGAAGAGAAGATGACTCAGTTCTTCAAGAACAACTTCAGTGAAGATCGATGGAGGAAGGCCGCTCTGAAAAACGCTTTCTCTCTGCTGGGGAAGCAGCGCTTTGAACAGGCGGCTGCCTTTTTCCTTCTGGCCGGATCACTGAAGGACGCCATCGAGGTGAGTACGTACGTATGATCACTGGGCCGTCGAGTTTCTTTCATTAATTCTCTGCTGCTGTCGCTCAGGTCATGATGGAGAAGATGGAGGATCTCCAGCTGGCTATGATCGTAGCCCGGTTGTACGAGGCGGACTTTGAGAACTCCTCCACCTGCCAGGGCCTGCTGTATGAGAAGGTGCTGGGCTGCAACAGGGACGGCAGTGGGTACCACTGTTCCCGACTGCACCCCGACCCGTTCCTCCGCAGCATAGCCTACTGGATTATGAAGGATTACACCAAAGCCCTGGACACACTGTTGGAGCGGATCCCCAAAGACGACGACGACAATCCTGGTCAGTCGGTTTATTACACACACACTGATATTATTAGAGGTGACGCACTGTGACTGTTGGTGTTGCAATGTTGCTTTGTTATACTCATCACTTTGTTTTTTTTCTGTCTCCCACCGTATCCCACCTTTTTCTCCCCCCGTCAGATGAGATGGTGAAATCCTGCAACCCTGTGGTGTTCAGTTTCTACAACTACCTGAGAACCCACCCTCTGATCATCCGTCGCCACTTTGCCAACCCCGAAGCCACGACAACCGTGGGCCTAACAGCTGAGAGGAACAGAGTGGACGAGATCAACCTGATCGAACGCAAACTCTTCTTCACCACGGCCAACGCACACTTCAAGGTGTCATAAATCACACATGGAACCCTAACCCTGAAGACTGAGTCTGCTGTTTGGTTTAATGTTTATGGTTCAAAGTTGCAATACTGTCACCTAGTGGGACAGGAAGTAAAAGAAGAAAACAGAGAACAGTGACATTGATGGATTTCTTTTTTGTTTTTCAGGTGGGCTGTCCAGTTCTGGCTCTAGAAGTTCTATCCAAGATTCCAAAAGTGACCAAGAAGTCTAGCTCCTCCCCTCTAAGCAAAGCTTCATCTAAGGCTAACTTAAACTCAAGCCATCCCCTGGAGAACGGCACCCAGGGAGGGGACGACTGGGGGCCTCCAGCAGCTCCTGTCTCTGCCTGGGCGGTAAACGACAGCGCAGCTATATTGGACTGGAGCCAGCCTGTGGTGAAGCTGGAGGACGATGAGCTGAATCTCGACTGGGGAGAGAATAAGATGGAGGAGGATGATGATGAAGATGATGAAGACGAAGGAGGTCTGACCATGAAGGAACCAGAATCTCAGACCAAAGTTGATGTGAGCTCAGTGAGTGGTGGGTCCAAACTGCAGAGAGGAGACTCACAGGTAGGTGGTGTAGGTCTGGGACCATGGACTAAATGCACAGCTTCAGAGTGTGAGAGTCAGAGTTGGACCAAAGCCTCTCTTCATTTCAGGTTGAGCCGGAGGTTGATGTCATAGCAGAGCAGCTGAAGTTCCGTGCCTGTCTGAAGATCCTGATGACGGAGCTGCGTACGTTGGCCACCGGGTTCGAGGTGGACGGCGGGAAGCTCCGCTTCCAGCTCTACAACTGGCTGGAGAAGGAGATCGCTGCCATGCATAAGATCTGCAATTACAAGGTGAGGTCGATGGTCCTTCACATCTGTGTAATATTTGTGCATGGTTTAATTTTACTCTGAAAGACAACGTTCACCCTGCATGTTATCAACTTCCTGATGTTGACCCACAGGTGGAAGGAAAGGAGGATTCAGAAGCTGAGCGCTGGCGAGACCACCCGGCTTCAGTGGACATCCCAGATGAACTTCTGGAGCAGTCTGAGGCCGGAGCTTATCAGCGGCACCAGATGGAGAGGCGTTGCCTCCAAGCGAAGCAGCAGCACTCGGAGAGACGCAAGGCCTGGCTGAGGAAGAACCAGGCCCTGCTGAGGGTCTTTCTGTCCTACTGCAGCCTTCATGGGGCCAAAGGGGGAGGAGTTACCTCAGTCCGCATGGAGCTCATCTTCCTCCTGCAGGAGAGCCAGCAGGTAGACACGCCCACTCTGGTGATTCTGCTCAGGCTCCTCTGGGAAGCTGTTTCCATTCAATACTGTATATGAGCCCATGTTGAGAACCACAGGTTTGATCACAACAAGGTCAGACATTTTCATCCGTCCGAGGGTTTATAACTGTTAGAGCGCATAAGTCAAACTCAAGGCCCGCGGGTGTCAAACTCAAGGCCCGCGGGCCACATCTTGATAGCCCACCAGACACAGCTTAGTATATAGTTGTCTTTAATCACATCTTGATAGCCCACCAAAGACAACTATATACTAAACGCAGTTTAGTATATAGTTGTCTTTATGTGAAAGTCTACAGTGGGTGAGTTTACACTAATGTTCACAAGACAGGTTAAGTGCAGAAAACGGACCTGCAGTCTAGTTATTAGCACAGTCACTAGATAGGAAACATCCAGTGCTAATGTAGGCTACATGCTAACCAGGTGCCTAGTACTAGCCTGTGTGGCAGCTGTCCCAGGATGTTGCTGTGGATATAGACAGTTCAAGTTAAAAGGATAAAAGTTTGACTTCTGGTTCTCGCCCCCTAGTGGTACATGGGCGACTCTGTTATTATGATGTTTAGGACCTGTTTTAGTGCTGCCTACTGCCCACAAATTCTGAGTGTCCATCCCTGGTCTGTCAGTCCCTTTTCTTTGTGTTCTAGTCCCACTCATCTCTGATCCTTCTGTGACTCTGTCTCCCCCTGTAGGAGACCACAGTGAAGCAGCTGCAGTCACCCCTGCCCCTGCCCACCACACTCCCTCTGCTGTCAGCTTGTATTGCCTCTACTAAGACCGTCATAGCCAATCCAGTGCTTCACCTCAGCAACCACATTCACGACATCCTGCACACCATCACCCTCATGGAGGCGCCGCCGCACCCTGACATCATAGACGATCGGGTCAGAACTTTAACTCATTCAGTTCCTGATGACAACATTTTTTACAGTTGCCTCCTTTCTGTTCTGAACATGAAAATGTCTCTTTTTTTTCAGGTCAGTACTCTACACACACTGGCAGCGTCTCTGTCGGCCTGCATCTACCAGGCTCTGTGTGACAGCCACAGCTACAGGTAACGGTTGTTGTTTCCAGGGCTGACTACACCAGGACTGTTGTAGCTAACGTTAGCTCTGGTGTCTGTAACAAAAATGTTTTTTTGTTTTTGTTTTTTGTTTTCTTGTTGCTTTGCAGCAGCCAGACCGAGGCCAACCAGTTCACAGGGATGGTGTACCAAGGCCTGCTGCTCAGTGAGAGGAAACGTCTCCGCACCGAGAGCATTGAAGAACATATAACTCCAAACTCTGCTCCTGCCCAGTGGCCAGGTGAGGCCGTTCTACTGTTCTGAATGTTCTACGGACTGGTTCTGCTGCCTACAGAACATGTTGGACATGTTTGTGTTTTCATCCACAGGGGTGTCTTCTCTGATTTCTCTGTTGACCTCTGCCAGAGAGGAGGACCAGCCCAGACTCAACGTCCTGCTGTGTGAAGCAGTGGTGGCGGTTTATCTGGCGCTGCTCATCCACGGCCTCGGCACTCACAGCAGCAACGAACTCTTCCGTCTGGCCGCTCACCCGCTCAACAACCGTATGTGGGCTGCCGTCTTTGGAGGAGGGGCCAAAGTCGTTATTAAGCCAAAGAGACCAGAGCCCCCGCCAGGTAAAACCTAATATAAAATGTCGCTCTTCGTTTGTCCACGATGTTCTACACTTTTCTTCTGCTCTCCCTGTCGTCCTCTTCCTTCACCTGGACTTCTGTCACAGTCTCACCTGGTCCGTCAGGTGTGCCTCACATTAACCCTGATGTTCACACAGGCCTGTACTGTCAATGCTGCTGCTGTGTCAGTGTGACCCTGTGTTAGTTTGCCCTCTACCCTGTGTCCCAGTGCCAGCTGAGTTTGAGGTACCCAGACCAGAGGAGTCTGAAGAAAAGACAGGAAGACCTGAGCAGTGCAGCCTAAGCCCAAACCCCACTCCCATTCCCACTGAACCCCAGCGCCCCAAACGACCTCCTCCTCCCCTTTTAAAGGGGGAGGGGTCGGGCACTAGGGCACCAGCACCTCAGGCCAGCTGTGAGTAACTGGGCTGGTGACTTGCAGTGCTGGTTTGCAGGATTGCAGTGCATGGTAGTTGTTGAAGGTTTGTGGTGTTGCAGATGATGCCTGAACAAGCTGCTGCTGAATGTCCAACAAATAATGTCCACTAATGCTTCCAGACAGTCATCTGTGTTCAGTGTTATGATGACGCAGCCACTGCGTGTGAGAGAGTGTGTGTGTGTGTGTGTTACATTGCATGTCTGCTCTGTAACGCCCCCTGGTTCTCATCATGTCGTGTCATTCTCCTTGAACCACCGTAGCACCTACAGGTCTTAGCCGGGATTGTTCAGCACCGAAGCCTGAGCAGCTCCCCCCTCAGGCTAACTCTGAATATGACGCCACGCCAGGTACAACTTTAGAAGACTGGTTTAATACCACAGTAGGGTTCACCTAGTTCTGGTTGGTTCAGTCTATACCAGTTGATGGCCAGTAGGGGAGTTATTTAATTGTAAGAAGCTCCAGCAGATTTAGGGTTGAACTGATTAATCAGTGTATAATTCTGCAGTCGTCCACGTACAGAACCTGCTGTGATTTGACCCAGTGTAGGTGGAAGAACCAGGGGCAATAAACCTGTGCATATTGCACCTCTCAACCTAATGCCCCCTGTTCTTGGGTTGTGTTTTTTGGTGTACACAGATATGAGCCGGCAATTAAAATATTATCCAGCTTATTCCTGGACTGTAATTTTCCCCATGATTCAACTGTGGATATAATGGATATTATGGAAATATTAAACCAGAAATTGTCCAGTTATAGACATGCACCATCTCTGGAAGTGCTTTATTGTCTGGTTTAATCTAAATTGGATTCTAGAAAAGACATTATTATTATTATTATTATTGTTATTATTATTATTATAGTGTGAATACATTTTACGTTACAGTCAGCACAGTTGGCGTTAACACACTGATGTTAACACAGATGCTAACATGAACATATCTCCATATCATAACACCCATGTGGCTCCGCCCTGTTTGCCTCTGTTAACGGCTGTGGACACAAACAGTTGCTGATCACTGAACACACCGACCATTGTTTGATGTCCTTCAGTACTCTGTGTATTTCTGTACCATCAACTACATGAAGTATTGACCTACTCACTGTGTAGTACGTGTGTTTCTAACTGCACTGTCTGGTTTGTATCTCATCTCATTGCGTCTGGTCTGGCAGCAGACACAGTGGCCCCCGGTGGCGGTGCAGGTTCGTGCGTCATGCCTTGTGTCGTGCCTCCATTTAAATGTTTGTATCTGTGCATCTGCATCTCTTTTATGTCTTTGATTTATTTTTCTCCACAAGGCGTAGAGTTGACGTGATATTCCAAATGGTTTGGATTAGGAAAATAACAGTTAGTTTTCAGTAGCTCTGTGGTGGAGTGTGTGCAGTGTGTGACTTCCTCCTGAACAAACCCTTGACTTCCTGAAGTGACGCCTCAGTCTCAGACCACGGTCTGCAGTCCTGGGCTTCAGACCAAGACCTTTTCTGAGTTTGTTCTTTAAAATGTCCCTTTGATTTAACCCCTCCCCCACTTGTCCATCAGCTTCCCCGCAGCCTGCAGTGGAGGACGTGGACAGATACAGGCGGAGGTTCAACATGAGGATGCTGGTTCCGGGACGGCCCATAAAGGAGACACCGACCAACCCACCTCCTGTGCCCACAGAGAGACCCACCTACAGGGAGAAGTTCATCCCCCCAGAGCTGAGCATGTGGGACTACTTTGTGGCCAAAGTACGCACCAACATGTTTATTAATGTGACAGATCCCAAACTAGAATCCTATTGGTCAATGTAACAGCAGCTTCTAGTTTACTAATATTCTTAATAGACGGGTGGGCAGCAGAAACTAGAACTTCTAGTTTATTAATATTCTTAATAGAAGGGTGGGCAGCAGAAACTAGAAATATTTTCTTACAAAAACTTTTTATGTAACCTAGAGTAGGGGGCGCTCTCACTGTGGTGTGTTCTGAGGAGAATGGACTCTAGAATCTTTTGTGCCCTGACGTGACCAGGGTGGGGCGGTGCCACGACACACGCCCTTCACTGACTAATTTGACTGTTTCCTGTGGTTTTCTCAGCCCTTCCTGCCGCTCTCAGACAGCAACGCACTGTGTGACTCGGACGAAAGCGGCGGCGAAGACGATGACGATGACGAGGACGCCTTCCTGTCTGACACACAGATAACGGAGCACTCCGACCCCAACTCCTACAGGTAGAACCCGACCCTGTGGTCCACCGTGTCAGTTAGTGCATCGGTCTGTGTCGGGTTTTAAACCTGGTATCTCTGTCTGTCCGACCGTGTGGTAAACAGCTGGGCTCTGATCCGACTGGTCATGGTGAAACTGGCTCATCACAACGTGAAGAACTTCCTTCCTCTAACCGGCCTGGACTTCACTGGTACAGAACCACATCATCTCTGATCCCTGATTGGCTGACGTCAGCGGTGTACAGTATAATTCTCTGTTCTTCCTGTTCCAGACCTGCCCGTCACTTCGCCGTTCAGCAACGCCGTTCTGAAGATCCTAGAGAACTGGGAGCAGCTCCTGTTGGAGCGGATGAACAAATTTGACGGCCCGCCTCCCAACTACATCAACACTTACCCCACTGACCTCAGCGCTGGAGGTGGCCCCGCCATTCTGCGACACAAGGCCATGCTGGAGCCCGACAACACACCCTTCAAGTATGAACCCAGTGTTTAATTGTACTGGTAGACCCTACTCACCAGGTCGGGGTCATCAGACAGGAAGTAGAACCTGGGGTTGATCTAAACACTTTCCTAAAACTTGTTAAACTGAGTTTACTTTGTGGTCACTGCTGTAGAATCAGACGCAGACAGAACCTGACCTCCGTCCGTTTGTTTGTCCTGCAGAACAAAGAACCACCAGTCGTTCCCGGCCCGCCGTCTCTGGCACTTCCTGGTCAAACAGGATGTTCTTCAGGACACTCTGGTCCGTTACATCTTCACTAAGAAGAGGAAGCAGAGTGAGGTCAGTGGGAAACGTGCACACACGTGCGTCTGCTGTCTGTTCACATCACGTTTTACTCCTCTTAAATTTTGGATCTTAACTTTTTTTAAGTTTATTTTAATTTGTTGTTTTTGGTTTCACTGTCACTGTTGACAAATCAGTATATTATATACAGTATATACTGTGTCTATATAAATATATACACATACAGGTGACAGTCTGTGACTCATTAGTCCAGACTGCTGCTGTGACATCCACCTGAACACTGGACAAACTTATCTCAGATTCTTGGTTGTTGTTTTACCTTCAAATATTGTTTCAATGTAAACAAAAGGTTTTTCTTATTTTTTTCATTCCATCTTTATTTTTTGTGTGTGTGTGTGTGTGTTTGTTTGCATGTGTTTTGTGCTGTGTCGTGTTGTGTGTCCATCCTGCCTGTGTGTGTTGTGGTGTAGTCTGTAGACAACCATGTGGACCATAAAAGCCAAAACTGCATAGCAGGAGCTAGCCACCCCGCTAAGGTAGTATCACCGTCTGTGACGGCCCAGGCCTCGCCTCACAGTCTCTCCCTCTCTCTCTCCCTCCCTCTCTCACTGCGGGCCGTCTGTCTTCATCCTCACCTACATCACCTCCATCTGACACCTGATAAAATCAAACCTCCTGATTTGTTGTTTTTTCCACATTTCTACTTCCTGTTGTTGTCTTTTAGCTGAACTGTTTGGACTGGACCTGAAGCCCAAACACTGGTCCACGACAAAGAAGGGGCAGCTGAGAAGGAGGATGGAGGGGGAGAAAGAACGTCAGAAGACAGTGGTGCCTTGGGGTGGAGGTGGAGGAGGAGGAGGGGGGTCTCCACTGTCAGTGATTGATTTTTAACCCCCCAGTCTTTTCTTTTGACTGTCTTGAAAATATTCAGCATTCAGTACTTGTACAAACGCAGTAGTCGTGTGTACATATATAATACCGTTTTCGTTCAGAGAACCAGCAGCAGGTTCTCAAACCAAGATTTCTCTAAAGGATCCTGCTCTGTCAGACTCCTGGGTGTTTTCTCTGATCATATATAAACTGTTAGAACCTTCTACAGTTTAACGTTGTTCTTCTCTCTGGTTCAGATATCCTAAACGTACACACCAGCCTAAAACTACTGCACAGTACCGTCCAGAGTAAAGATCTGTTCTAGAGTTCCATCAAAACTAGATTGATTTTTGTTTTTGTTTTTTTTTCCAGGTGGAGGCAGACCTGGGGTATCCAGGGGGCAAAGCTAAAATCATTCATAAGGAGTCTGACATCATCATGGCCTTCGCCATCAACAAGGTGAGACGTTGAAAAAAGAAAAAAAAATTCACTGCTACTGACGTCCAGACACCGTGTGGTGAATTCAGGGACTGTTTATTATTGTCAATGTCCTGAATGTTTGTTTTTGGACTGGTGTGAACTGGTGTGAACTGGTGTGAACTCCATGTTTCCAGGCCAACTCTAATGAGATCGTGCTGGCCTCCACCCATGACGTCCAGGAGGTGGACGTGTCCACCCTGGTGTCCGTGCAGCCCTACACCTGGATCGGAGACGACTTTGACAAAGAGTCTCGCAGGTTTGAACCAAACATTTGTTGTTGTTTTTTTTCATGTCACTTCTTCAAACCTGAGAGACTGAGGTGTGGACTGGTGTGTCTCCAAAATGTCTCCAAAATGTCTCCCAGCTCCGACGACATCGACTATCGCTCCTCACACACCAACATCGCCCAGGCCAGCGCTGTGCCCTTCGCACCTCCACAGATGCACGTGTCTGCATCTATGCCCTGGCTGGGCAGTGGTCAGACCAGCATGGGGGCCAGTGTGGTACGAACCTACACACACACACACACACACACACACACACACACACACAGGATAAATCATTTTACCTAACTTTTTTTGTGTTTGTTTTGCAGATTATGAAAAGGAATCTTAATAATGTGAAGAGGATGACGTCCCACCCCATCTACCAGTACTGTGAGTCAGTCGTCAGCTGTAGAAACAACAACACGCTGCAGTCGATCGACAGATTAAACTGTATTGATCCCTCAGGAGTTAAATTAAAATTAATTTTTTAACTTCCGTCTGTTTTGTTGTCCATGTTTTGTTTTTCCTGTTGTTTGTGTGTCTGTGTGTGTGTGTGTGTGTGTGTTTGTGTGTGTCAGACGTGACTGGGGCTCAGGACGGCAGTGTGAGAATGTTTGAATGGAACAGACCTCAGCAGCTCATCTGCTTCAGACAAGCAGGAAACGCCCGAGTCACCAGGCTGTACTTCAACTCCCAGGGCAACAAGGTCAGTACACACACACACACACACACACACACACACACACACACCACAAATACACATATATGTCTGTTCATGTATATGCACAGATCTATAAATATAAGTTGATGTAAGTGGCCACCATGGAAACAGTCCTTGTAACACCGTGCTGGGCAGTGCATGCTGGGTAAAAGTGACTAAAACATACAGTTTAGATACAAATGTAGTGAAAAGTCAGTAAATAGACGACACGTCAACAAGTGTGTGCCCTGCCGTCGGCCGTGGTGCTGATGTTCTTCTGGGATCTTCTACAGTGTGGAGTAGCTGATGGAGAAGGTTTCCTCAGCCTGTGGCAGGTCAATCAGACGTCATCGAACCCCAAACCCTACCTGGTGAGGTCACCTCCAGCCTCACTCTTCTGTGTAGAGAAAAACAGAGTTTTTGATTTTTTTTTTTTTAAAACCCCCCCCCCCACCCCACCCCCCCCCCCCCCCCCCACTCTACCTCCACAGAGTTGGCAGTGCCACACAAAGACCTGCGGTGACTTTGCCTTCATCACTTCCTCCAGCCTCATCGCCACTGCAGGACAGTCCAATGACAACAGGTCAGTGTCTGTACTGCGGTGTCTGTACTGCACTGTTTCATGTTCATAACTCGTATAAAGTCAACAGTGTGGTTTTTCTCTGTCTACAGAAACGTCTGCCTGTGGGACACTCTGATTTCTCCCAGCAACACCATGGTTCACGGTAATAACAAAAAATAAAAAAGTTTACTCACAGTCTCCTGGGTGTGAAACCTGGACTCCAGCAACACCATGGTTCACGGTAATAAAAAAAAATAAAGTTTACTCACAGTCACAGGGTGTGAAACCTGGGCCTATAAGAAGAGGAGGTTTTCCTCACCGCCGTTACTCCCGGTGGACAAGATCTGTGTGTTTTTGTCAAACTGTTAAAGCCCTTTGAGCTGCATGGTTGTATGAACTGTGCCGTACAAATACAGTTCTTATGATTATCATTATTATGGTTCATGTGTTAACTGCACACTTTTGTTCACTCCTCTTCTCACCCACTTTCCCAGCATTCCCCTGCCATGAGAACGGGGCCACTGTACTGCAGTACGCTCCCAAGCAGCAGCTGCTGATCACCGGGGGCAGGAAGGGCTTCGTGTGTGTGTTCGACATCCGCCAGAGGCAGCTGCTCCACACGTTCCAGGCCCACGACTCGGCCATCAAGGCCCTGGCCCTGGACGCCTTCGAGGACTTCTTTGTCACCGGCTCAGCTGAGGGGAACATGAAGGTGACCCAGACTCTGCCCCCGACCCTCAGCTTCATCTGACTCCGTTGGTGTTAACCCTCCTTTCTGTTTCCAGGTGTGGAAGTTAGCCGGCCACGGACTCATGCACTCGTTCAGCAGCGAGCACGCCAAGCAGTCCATCTTCCGCAACATCGGCGCAGGTGTCATGCAGGTGGAGACGCGACCAGGCAATCGCATCTTCACCTGCGGCGCAGACGGCACGCTGAAGATGCGCGTCCTCCCTGACCGCTACAACATCCCCAACGGCCTGGTGGACGTCCTGTAGAGGCCCCGCCCACCGTCGAGAAGATCCAAAGAGACGAGAAGACATCGACATAAAAAGCTAACGTCACACTTCATCCCTAGTTTCACAGAATGAAGGACGCGTCGCCACGCTTTTGTCCCCCTGCCCCCGGTGTTTGTGGGTTTGCTGCTGTGGTGAATCCGGATGAGAAACAGAGCTGCAAATGTTTCCCTTTTTCCCCCAAAGCCTAAAAGCAAAGTAACAAGCAGAGGTTTTCACCCTCGGTTTCCAACGCTCGACTTCCTGTCATTTCCCTGAAGAATCTCTCGTCTATAGAGCGCGTCCGTAGGGAAGCTATGCATGTCCTGTTCTCGTGAAGCGGTGCAATCACAGGCCTGATGATAGTGATAGTTTTTGTTTTGTTTTTTTTAAGTACGTAACTGTTCTTGTCATGTCGTGATCACAGCGAACATTTCTGGGCGTCTACTGTAACCTGCACTGTGGTCGAGTACGTCAGTCGTTGGAATCTGATTTTT